TCAAATGATCAATTATAGAGTGTATTTGATGGAATGAGAATTTGACTTTAATTGTTAAGTGAAATGAATGAGAAATTAGCAAAAGAGAACACTTTTTGTGATAAAAGATATGAGAGCGATTGAACCAACAAGGAAAAGATTGAAAATCCTGTCAAAACGAATGAAAACCGCGTTAGGCCCGGACGAGTTAATGATACGCTCATCTTTCTAGAGAATCGTGTTTTCTAACCAATAATCGTTAAAGAGTGCGATATTACAACGAGAATAAGGATTATAATGAGAACTATCACCATAATGCGAACATAACAATGACCCATATAATTTATGGATCGAAAGCTTTAAACATTTCATAGTTGTTCTAATATTTTCTAGGTTAGGTTCAGAAAAATCGTTTCAGAAAAGGACGGGATGATTTTTTGATTTTAATCCGAATTAGTGCGCTCTGACGTGCTTCTGAAAATTGAATGCAGAACTTTGCGTAAGTTTTGCCGGAGCTCTCAGTATGAGCAGCAAGCTTCAGACGCACTTACTCAGCTAGAAACGAACAATCAGATCGGTTTCGATAGAAACCAGAATAAAATATCAAAAGTGAGATGGACTGTTGCGAACAGTGGAACTGCTGGTAAACTATTGTTGACATTGCCTGCACGCAGTTAGCATTTCCTTTTATTTGAAGTCACTTGAATGAAAACGCAGCAGAAATTCTGGTTTTTCAGCCGCATTAATGAACGAATTTGATTTGGAAGGGATTTTTTCACAGCAGAGGATGTAAGAAGTGCACTCATCAACAATGCGCATTTGATTATGTCATCTGAAATAGCTGATGATGAAAATCCTGTGGAAACATTGAGTGGATTTATTGCAATTGCTTACACGAAATTGATCAATTGAAAATCAAAATTCGACAGAAGAAAATATAATGTTATAAAATAACTGGTTAGTTGGACACTAACGTTGCGTAATAAAATGCTTTTCTCATATTCCACGTATACTTACACCATTATCTGGTTCTTCTGATCAGTTATTTATGGGATTAGTGATATTTCGCATAATACTTTCAGGTTTTAAAATGAATTGCAGTTGAAATCCTTCTCCTAGATAGAGTTTCGCTGCTTTTTTTCAACTCTTACATATATAAGGGTTAGCTTGACATCAAATGCACAAACTATGCTTCATTTGATTTACTTTGAATCACCTTTTATCTTACTCGCTTGAACACATTGCTCTTATAATTTCAACATTTTATTTACTGCGAATGCATCATAAGCAGTTATTTCAGCAAAAAAATAGTTCACTTTTAATTGCAGTACCATCAGAATAACTTGAGGTCCTCTTCGTACCAAAATCAGATCAAGTATCAGATTTATTGAAATTGCGTACCTAAAATTCCAATAAATCTGATACTATTCATGTAGTATTGTGTGGACATGCGGCGAAACAATGAAAACGTATAAGTCATTTTTAAGATTATCAAAAACTGATCGATCAAATCAATCACTAAACTGAACAATTATCACAATTCATGAAGCCTGAGACATTATGCAAGATGACTTCTTCTTCTGATCAAAGCTCCAGTGTTTGCTGGACATGGACAGTAGTGCGCATCAGGTCCTGAGATCCCGTCCAGTCCGGACTAAAACCAAGATTTCACGTTAATTATGATGCATAAAGCAGCTCAAATATGACTGCAAAATAACTTCTTTAATTCTTATACGATCAATATTCCCAAGTAAAACAATGATTTTTGTGATTATATCAATTTTAAAAGAACTTTTGCAGTTATCATTTTGCAACAAAAACGTGATTCATCAACGCTTTCCACCCTTTTCGTTAACGATCACACAGCTTACTTTTCCACGTTTTCCAACCACCCCCAGTGAACCTGCATTTCCCACCGGTCCCGTGGCTCCTTGTGGACCAGCCGCTCCTGGTTCACTATCAGCTCCTGGTTCTCCTGGACGTCCTGGTGCCCCAGTAGCACCCGGTGGTCCTTTTGGTCCTCCTTCTGAACAACTGCGCCGACCTGGTGCGCCTGGCGGTCCAGGTGGTCCAGCTTGGCCTGATTCATCTAAAAATTTATAGGAATAGAAAATCGAAATGGATCTACGCAAACACGTTTTCCAATTCCAAACATTATTGGAAAGACCGTGAATCGTTGTTGAGTTATTAAGCGATATCAGTTATTTAGCAACTCATTTTGTAGATTTTCGTTAAACTTCAAAGAATATGCAGTGAATTTTGATCATGAAATAATGTACAAGATTGTCCATCAGGTCAAGGTGATCCAGGCGTTCCCGGTGGCCCTACACCATTATCAGTTGTTCCGGGTGCTCCAGGCTGTCCGATAGGTCCAATATCGCCAATAGGGCCATCTGGTCCAGGTAATCCGGGTGCTCCAATCGGGCACTTAATACATCCTTCTACCGTTATAGATGATAGGATAACGGCAACAGCGGACAAGGCAGGTCGTCCTGGCAAACCAGCTAGACCTGGTTCTAAACATAAATTTTCATGTTTTGAGCCAGGCATTTGACTGGCATTGTTCACTTGTAAGAGAGCAAATAAACAATGCTAACAATTCGGTTCAGCTATATGTTTTTTGTTCGGAAGTTGCTCTGTTTTCAAGTTATTTCTGCTGCAGCACAACGAAGACATACAGTAATCTTTTTCGCAAACAAATTGAAATATCTTCAAACAATAAAACTAGAAAGGGAAGTGTATCTAATGATTTCTTACTTATTGCTACCGTCGATTCTTATTATCATGGCATTGATTAAGAGGCTTGTTTTCATTTAAAACCATAATTTGACCATATAATGACATCTTCCAAGTGATGTGAACTATAGATCAAGCGAATCCTAACCTCCTGGCGATCCAACTATCCCCTGACGTCCAGGTGATCCTGCAGGACATTCGACAACCCTTCGTGATCGTTTATTGAAAGCATCTACTTGGATGCCCTTAGCGCTGAAATCAGATTTTCTTCTCGAGTCCAGTCGATCTCTTGACACGATCATATGTTAAAGAAATATGCTCATGTCCCGATCTGTTCGCGCTAATCTCCATCATCGTTCCCTATACATCATTTGCCAGGTCCTAAGAATCAGTTGCTTGAAGTTTCATGCAGTGAATCCATGAATCGATGAAATCGTATCAGTGAATCCATGAAAGCGAGATATACACTCAAACGTTTCGTTACACCTTGAAATCGTCCACAGCATCAATAATTTCATAGAAAAACGAATTTAATTCATTGATGAGAAGACCGACTGCGATTAGTGAACCGAATATTGCGAGTCCAGATGCAGCTGTAGCCCCAGCAATCGCATATCCTGCACCGGAAGCCATTCGATTGTAGAGCCGTCTGAAAAGAAATAATTGTTGAGTCCATTGGCCGAATAGGGAGTACTTCTATTTTTATGGTTTTCCATATGGTACTATTAGGTGTAATGACTTTCTCCTAGTTACAACGGTTAAGAATGATAATCAAAAATGTCGAGTTGTAGACGAATTTTAATTGAATGCAATTACGAATGTATTGCAGTGTTTTTTGTGGTCGCTTATATACACACATTAATCATATATTATGTAACAGTTGGAATGTTTTTTACATTTAGAGTTTCAATTAAGAACCAACCATTCATCCGCGAAATCTGATTATTAGAACTAGTTTTTCTTTCGAAGTAGAACGTTTCGAATGCATTTTGCTTATGGTACAACTGGCTTATTATGGCATCATTTTCATAGTTCACTGCATTCACTGGGAAACAACAACCGGAATGAGAGTGGACACACTCAAAGAAATATAATTGCATTGAAGTGAAAAAGAAAAGTTTTTCGATGAAACTTGTATCTTCAGCAAAATCAAAAAATGAAATTGCGATCAAATGATGCTGTTCTGTTATACTTCCGCTATATAAGAAAGTATTTTGAAAATGTTTTCACTGTAAGAGCGGTCGTTATGGGAAGTAAGTATAATGGCAAGTGAACTTCAAGACCAAGGAAATTGCATATGAATAAGTTGCAATCGGGTACTTTGAACAACTTCATCTGGAGGGTTTCCTTTCAGGGTAATTTTTGTGTCGAAATAGAGCGATGAATTATTGTGAGAATAATTTCAGCAGGAGATCCGAGAATGAAATGAAAATAATGAGATCAAGATTTCATGAAACCTGGTGATTTTTCGAAACTCTGAGGTGATTCCTTACGGCATCGTTGATCACTCTTGAACAAAGAGTTTATCCAATCGATCGATTCATATCAAATTTCTGCAGTTGACACTTATACTATTCGAACGACAAATGAGTATAAGAAATGAAATTTAAAAAAAGAGGAATTGATACATTTAATCGCTCTCAAGACGTCACTAAGACATTTGGCGATAATTGAGATGAACATTAAAATCTCAGTTCTTAACAGCATGGGGCATCATTGATCATTGAAATATTACTGGCGATTTAAGCCATATCCTGCTAGCTGAATGCGATAATTCTGTTTCTTTTTTACTGTCGAAGTCGCTTGAATTAATTGTTCGATGTGAAATACTTCACGAATTCACAAATTTTGAAAGGTTTTTTGTTGAAAATGTTTTGATTAACAATGCAAATGAATGGGAAAGATGTGTGAACTGTATCTCTGTTTGCATAGGGGCCGTTTGAACTTCTAATGACACGCATTATTAATGAAAATACCATTTTGATGATACTCCAATAATATCACCATTGCTGTTGCATAAGATTATACGAGTGATTATTTAGCACGCAATCTACCGACTTACTGAAGAAATTACTTCATTTGTTTGTTGTGAATGCCCTTCTGCAACTCTAAAGGTCAGTGAAGACGGAACCGTATTGGGGTCAAGCAAGAGAAACTTTTGATGTATTGTTAACGATGAAATAGAATAATAATAGTAGAGTCTTGAATTTCCAGCTGATTTACAAGTTCTCGGCCAGTGGTTCTCACGTTCGGCAGCTCCATTACCCTTTTTGACGATCTAGCAGGTCGTTGTTACTCCCTGATATAATAACTTACTATTTCTAAGTATAACGTCAAGAACAAACGGTTTTCCGTTTGTTCTTGACGTTCTTACAGTTCATGAGATCGATTATGATTGCATGAAAAGCTGTTGATTATGATACGCTCACTTCAAGCTGATTCAGATGGATTCTGATTCTTTTCAGACGTATTGTATTCACTCTCACAGCTATTACATGCGAATATCGTTCTCTTGATGAGTTTTTCTCATTCACTTTCTTTCAGTTCACTTCACGATTCGAATCAATTTCCTATTCTGTAGTATTTACTATTTACTGGATACGTTGACAGCCGAAATCAACAATCGAATTGAATTGCTCAACAACGTTCGACAGTCAAATGATCAATTATAGAGTGTATTTGATAGAATGAGAATTTGATTTTGATTGTTGAGTGAAATGAATGAGAAATTAGCAGAAGAGAACATTTTTGGTGATAAATGTTATGAGAGCGATTACAGCAGCAAGGAAAAGAATGAAAACTCTGTTAAAACAAGCGAAAACCCTGTTAGGCAGGGACGAGCTAATGATATTCATTGGAGAATGAAGAATGTTGCGATCAACTAACCGCATTTACATATCGGAGTTGAAAAGCAACATCATGCGTTCTATCATAAAATAACAACTGCACGACATACTAATTCCCCGACCCTGTCCAT